AAGATTTGAATACCCAATTGGATCGAAAAATTTGAAGATTTTTTCTACTTTTGAATGCTCAGTAAGCCTGAGATACAGCCTAAGTACAGCCTATTCAGCAATTGCGTTGCCGATGGAGACTGATGTTAGGGGTGGTGGGGAAGTTTTGGAAGGTTTTGAGAAAAAATACAATCTGAAATAGCCCCATCGCGTGTTCCTGTTGCAGGAATCTTTTTTTGGTCGCATTTAGCTGTAAGAGTTTAAATTGGACTGCACGAGTGCTTCTGTTCAAAAACAAATTTTGTATCTGTTAGCATTCAAGCGCTCTTCTCAGTTTTTTTAAATTAGGTTTTTAAAATTTTTTCTTCTCTTAGGTTTTTTTTTGCTGCATTGAGTTGTTTCTTCTGATGAAGAGTGACCATCATGTCTTGTGAGTGAAGGCATGTGGCTTCCGAATGAGCCTAACAATGACTTGTCCCAAGGCGAATGGTGTGTAAGTCGAAAAGAATGGGAGGGCGAAACTGGACTGAATGACGAACCATGTGACAGCTTCAACCAAAACCAAGTCGTCTGCGAGTATTCAATCTAGAATCAGAGAAGAACTGGGCTGGAATAGAGTAAAATAAACCGAATTCTAAGATGAAACATTGGTTGACATTTTCGCAGTAAACAAGAGTTGTCGTAAAGTTGTCACATTGTCGTATAATTATTTCATCTTCTAGTTCTTATCGATATTTATTTACCTATAGCCTATACACTTTTTTTGATTAGAATGTCTGTAGGTTCATACCCCTACTCAATAGTAGATTTAGGGGCGGAGGGTGTTCTGTGCGGAAGCTTTTATTTTTTTTCATTTATTCGACCCCCGGACAACCCAAAGGTTCCCCAACATTTTAAGACATTCATTTTTGGCTCACCGATTCCCTGATTTTTTTAAAAATAAAAAGTGCTATAGCAATTGGCCGTTTGATGAAAATTCGCATACGGCGCAGAAAGTATGTTAAATTAAGGTCGTTATTGTGATTTTGTAGAAATGGAAAATCAATTTGGTCGACCTACAAAAAAGAAGACTTCATATGCCACAGTTTTATATGCAAATTGGAATACTAAAAAGTACAAATGAAAAAAATTGCACTTCAAGAATTGTCTGAACCCACGAAAATTGGCCCTGGAGCCGTTTGGTGAAATTATCCCGGAGCGCAGGCAAATCAAGTTGACCAAATTGCTATCTAGTATATTCCATGTTTAAATCAGCGAAACTTTCGAAAGAATTCGCTGATTTACATTCAACTAAAAAAGTAAGCTCGCAATTATGTTATTCTCTCAATATCAGAGTTGACAAAACTGGAACAACCCCCTTTTTTATGACATAAAACTATCCACTAGAAAAGAAACAAAATTGTATGTAATTTATGATAATTCCTACATTTCGTATGAATTTCTGAGCACGGCTAGTTTTTTTATAAGCAATCAGAATTAGAAGTAGTCAGTTACAATTGTAAGCGAGCGGAAGTAAAAACAAGACTGCTCGTATGAGGGCAAAACCATTAATGTTCCGACTGCCCTTTCATTAGTCTCAAGTAGTTATTGGTAACTAGCAGTTTAGACAGACACCTGGCAGGTTAGTATAGTGTAGAGCACACCCGGTTGCGCCCATGCAGATCAAGGGATTGATCTCGCGAGAGAGCAACGGATTTTGTGATATTGGCCTGAATAGAAAAACCCATATAATAGAAAAACCTTGATATGTAGCCTGAGCGTCTTTTTGAGACTTTTAATTTACCGGTTGTTTTAAAGCAAAATAGTTTAGAGTACACGTTAATGGCCGAAAGCGATACACTGGGCTTTTAAATCACTGGCATTGCAAAAAAATCAAACAAACTATTTTTTGCTAAATGATGTTTACCTTAATCTTTTTTTAAAAAAATTATTAAATTTAAATCTGAACCACTTCTTGATACAAAAAAACTGCTTTTTTGGCAAATATTTAATACAATAATGACAATTTGGCCAATTTGTGATAATTAAGTTGCAACATTATTCGTGCTATTAAAGAGTAAGCGGAGATATCACCGTCTTAGATATTGTTCCAAATTGAACTGAGCTATGTTAATCGGTCCATTTAAAAACTTCAAAATCTAATATTTATTTTTTCTGCATAGAGTGTAGGGTGATATATTAAAAAAAAATTTACAAAAGTTTTAAAAAATTATTATTTCTCAGAAAAAGAAGCAGTCTTGTTTCTCCTTTTAGCTCAGTGCGGATATGACCTAATCAAACAATCCAGTTTAATTCCTTGATCGTGAACTGTTTTTTGCGCCTACTCATTTTGGATTTTGTCTACAAAAAATGCTTGTCAGCCAATTGTCAAATGAGATAAAGTGCATGATACGCAATTTTGTACTGCAAGATTTGTACAAAATGTCTTTTATTCAAGAACAGAACGGCAAAATAAATTCAAACTACCTAGAAAAATATTCTGCTGGTCATATAGTAACTCAGTAACTCAGTAACTTAACAAATATAGCAAATATCAAAACTTAATTTAATTTGCATTTATGAGGCCGTTAAACCTAATGATTTTCTCCTCTGAGAACTTTTGATTATTTTTGTATTTCAGGGCCAAAAACAAAAACGTTAAAAAATATAAAAAAACGCAAAAATAAATGACTTTAACTTTTAGAAAAACTCCTGTCACCTAATTATGTTATATCCTAATGAGTCACCTAATGAGTTATATCTTAAGCATTTTTCCATAATTGAAAAATGAAAGCTAGTTTTTGGATAATGCATGCCAGTTTTGGTCAACCCCGGCATATAACATTCCCAATCCCAATATTGCATAGCCAAAACTCGGCTTAATAAAAATATAAAACAAAGTTCTGCGTATACTAGAATATAAGAGTAAATTTTACAATAACTACCGATGCAAAATTTAAAAGAAATATAATTTATCAATCAGCTGTAATACATATTGTACAAATGTGCCATTCGAGGCTTGTTCAGTGGTAAGTGTACTGTAACTGAGATCCTATTGTCAAAATATCATTACGAGGCCAAACTGTGCATTCTGTACATTGTAAATTGATTACGCAACAGGCCAAAATCAGATTTGTCGTGGAATCCGCAACATTGCTGCTTATATTTGATCTTCGTAGCTGTTTTGCATTCCACAAACAAATACCAATAACATTGAACCGCTCAAAATCCCTCCAAAAATAGGTAAAATTGAGGAATCCGCAACCGTATTTGCGGAATCCAGAAAATTTTGTGGAATCTACGAATAAATAATTTGACATCTGTATAGTTAAATTGAGCTGTTGTGGAATCCGTAACTGTAAGCGGAATCCGCATTATGTAAGTGGAATCCGCAAATTGTAAGTGGAATTCGCGTTTTGTTTGCGGATCCCACTTACATTTGCGGATTCCACTTACATTTTGAGGATTCCGCTTACAGCTGCGGAATCCAGAACAACAGGCTATATTGCTTGTTGCGGAATCCGCAGCAAAACAAATGTAACGACAAGACTAACGTTACAGGTATTTGTAGGCGAAATTCACGAAACTTTTGTTAGCGGAATCCACATACATTTTGGAACATGCTTATAGAATTGTCTCTAGAATCCAGCAACCTACCGACGCAAAATTGTGCACCTATCTAGGCTCAATTCGGCCTCGTAATAGTAGTTTGATTGTTGAGCCGTTGTAGAAAAATGCATTGAGAAAAAAATGAATAGTAGATAGACCAATTGAGAGTAACAATAATTATCAGTTTTTATTTTTTTGAAAAAATGCTTCGCATCTACTAAAAATTTTTCAAAACCTGACTATTCTGGACATTTGGAAGTAGTCGAACTGTGGCAGCTTTGAAATTTTTTTATTGAAACCCAAGGGCGACCTCTGTACAAATAATGGGTTACAATTCATACAATTCATACAATTCCTTATTATAAAAAGTCCATTCACGAACAACTTATGAAAATGATTTTTTCCATACAAACAAAACAAAAAAATTCATCAAGTAGTTTCAGCTAGTTTTCAGTGGAAAATGAACACTTTTTTGGTTAAAAAAAAAGGAAAAATGCTTGCCACGAATTTTTTGTTTATGAAAACTGTTTGATAAATAATTTTCTCATAAATAACTTAAAAATGAGGGAAAAGTTTTTGTAAGTTAATGTTTTAGCCTTTGAAACAAAATAATTAACAAACAGAATTTTCTCAAATGTTTTTTTTGTATGCAAAATGTTCAAAAGTGTGCTTCTAACATATTAACCTATCTCTACCCGAGAAGCGCGTCATGGTTTCCACTTGGTTTCCACTTGAGGTCGTTTAACCCTATTGATTTTCAATTTGAAAAATTGTTTGGTTTTTGTAATTCTCATTCATTTTTTTTATGGAATAGTATCAAACTGTACGATAAGCATTTTAACATAAATTATAATTGTATTAGCAGCATTTTGTATCAGCCATAACTTTTTTGTCAGTTTTTCCTTTGGGATGCTTGCGCATGAGAACAATATATAATTTCATGCAAAATTCTGCTTCATCTGATGCACTAGCGCAAATTATTTTGTGTTTCGAAGCGATTGTGCATGAAAAATACCACAAAAAATTATGACTTTTTTCAGCAAAGTGTTTTCCAGTTTTTTGCCTTCCATTATAAAAAGCCTGTGAAGTTGCATGAAACTAAGATTGAAAGCTTGTGTCATCCCGGAGCATCTAATCAGTGGTGATTTTGATCTGATTTTTTTGCTTGGTGGCATTGCATCAGCTTTTTTGTGAAAAAAAAAATAGAATTCGTTTGTAATGTCATAAGTAATGTCATAAGTTTCGAACCTCAATTCTTGCAACACCGATGAAAAAAGCATCGAGTCATCGATAACTGAAACTACAGCGTGCACATATTTTTGTTCTATTTTTATAAAAAATGATACAGAATTATGTGCAAATAATTGCGTCATGGTTTGTCGTTTGTTTGATATTTACAAAAAAAGTCAGTCTTATGACGTTTCTACGTTAGTTTTGTAGCTTATTTAATTTAATTAACCAATAGATCCAGTTGTTTTTTTATTTTGTAGAAAAACAGTCATTTCAAATGGTGGTTTTGAAGTGATTCAAGTTTTTGTGACATTACATCAGCTTTTCTGTAAAACAGAAAATAGACGTTTTGGCTTTGTCATAAGGCTCGAGCTTCTATTTTTTGCAACTTCGCCGAAAAAAGTATCGAGTCATCATAAAACTACTAATACTTCTGAAGTCATTTGTTTGATATTTATTGAAAAAACTCTGTCTTATGATATTCTACTTCATTTATATGGCTTATTCAAGTTGATTAATCAATAGATTCAATTATTTTGGTGACTTTATGAAAAACAGTTGATCTGCATTTGATTCGGTTAAAAAAGTTTTGAGTTGGAAAAAAGCACAAAAAAAATATTTCGAATTGAAGACGAAGAAAAAAAAGAACTTTTAAAATTAAACAAAATAGAAAAAAAAATTGAGAAAAAATGTTTCATATCCTCAATCTATTTGTTGTTTCAATTGGTTTGTTCCCGTATGTTAACCATCCTGAACAAACACAACTTAATCACTTTTTTGCCCCGGAAATTCAAGAAGAGATTACTTCCAAAATCTTCACTGATGTTCTGAGAGTTAACTCTCACGTGTGTGTCATTGGGAGCAAAAACATTGACTTCATGATGTGTCAAAAAGAGGATGTTCACTCATCGGGAAAATTTGGTCACATGGTTGGAGGCATGCTGGACGTTTGCAGCGCCGCCAAGAATATTCTGAGATACCCTAAATTAGGAAACGCAACCGAAGTACTGCTGAGAGAAATCATTCGAGAACTTCATGAAGTTGGCCCGTATCTTCGACCTGAGAATAGCTTTCAAAGTTCATGTGATCTTTCAGAGGAAGCAAAAATTCAGGACTACATAACTTATGAAGAATTCTGCTTTTGGATAATAAAATTTTGCAGCAAAATGGAAGGTTTGCATCTTTACCAAATTTTTTCTTTAGAATCCGATTAGAAAATTGTCGATTTAACAAAAAGGTGTGATTCTTTAGAGTGCATGCTAGATGTCGTCGCAATGAGTGACAGCCAGAAAGCTAAAAGGTACAAGTATGATAGTTGGGTCACTAAAATATCAGAGCAAGTTATCTTTCATTTGATTTTGGCAGGAACCCAACTATCATACTTGTAGCAGACAAAGAAATCGAAAAGATCGCCAATGGGCTTGACAGGGACCCACCCAATTATCATTCTTGTACCGGACAAAAAAATCGACATTTCGTCAGTGATTTTGCCAGGAACCGAGCTATCTTGCTTGTATCAGACGAAGAAAAAAGCAACAAAAAGAAGTTGCCATGAAAATCATAAAAAGTTATTTAGCCGTAGAAGTGATTTTTAGAGGTTGAAAGTTTATTTGACCTAGAAAGAGATTTTAGATAGTTTTTTATAACTTGAAAAATATTTTTTTTTGTAGACGCTACAAACAGTCACGGGTTCACCAAAAATGCTAATCGTACAAATTTCATATATGGAAAAATGCTAATCATACACTTTTCATGCAATTCCATAAGTACAGAAAATGCTTTAAAGGTCTATGATTAGTGATTTTTCATATATGGAAATTGTATGACTAGCATTTTTTCATGCACCAAAAATAATGATAATTTACATTTAAATTTTTCAAATTTTTTTGGTTATGTTCGTAACCGAACAGGAGTGACAAAAACCTCGGTTACTCAAACGTAGAAAACCAAAGGTTTGACCGTCTCGCATTATAAACACATTGGAAACGGCCTGTACTATCTTAAATCTGTCTTTCACAAATAATGTAACGAAATTATCAAACTTTTAAATTTTGGCAAAATTTTTCAACGATGAGTATTTTTAAAATTTGAATTTTTAGTTTAGTAAACATTGATCAAGGCATACATAAACTTGCTATACAAAAGAAAAAGAAATTTTTGGAGCTTGTGAAAAAAAGTATTAGGCGAAAAAAAAATCCAAAATTAGTATATCCAGGATTACGTTATGCACATAAAAATTAAATTTTGCATGCAAAAAAAACTTTGTTTTTTAAAAAATGTTTGTTTGAGTGCAAAATTCGATTTGCCGCTGAAAAAAAAACTTAAAAAATTTTTGGGCAATTTCAAAATTACTTCGCTATCAAAAAAATACTAGTCATAATATTTCCGTATAACGAAGTTATATGATTGGCATTTTTTTTGACAATAAGTTTTTATTTTTTTTACTTGGTACGATACACCAAATTTTATGCCAAAACAAGAAAAAAGTTCTGTGAAAACTCAATGACACCGTTTTATAAAAATGCATGAAGTTTGTATGATTAGTATTTTTTCATAGACTTAGTCAATGGAATTGTATGCATAGCATTTTGGACAATGGAGGTCAACGCGGGTATCGGGTGGGGTTACTTTCGATTTTTTACCCCTAATTTACAATACCCACATGATTGCCCATATGACTTAATCTTAGAAAAGTTAAATTTCCAAAAGAGCCTGCGGCATCAATATACTCATAAATTGAGAAAAATTATACATAGTATTACAGTGAGAAGTCGAATTTTTTAACTAAAATTAGCTTTCAATTTAAAGCTGTTTTTCCAAAAACAGCTTTAAATTGGAAGAATTCTAAGAATCATTTTGGTTGATCTAAAAAAAATTTCTCAGAAAGTTGCCCCGTTGATGAAATCTATGATCTGCGCTGACTCGTTTTGATCCCACAACACATCTAGTTAGGTTATTGAGTTATAGCTTTATAGAAGTCAATAATTTTTAATTTTAGTTAGTTATGTAGATCATTAGTTAGAGAGTGTAAAATACTGAAATTTATATTGATGTTAATGTTTAATTAAAATCTTCCGCCTGTAATTTTTCAACAATTCCAAGATAAAGTTGTCAGTTTTTCAAAAACTACAACGCGAGAACCCAAAACTTGTGACCAAAGTTGTTGGATTGAACTCGGTATTGTTCTCTTTAAAGGAATTAGAATCATGCCGAAAGACTGAATAATCTTCAACCAATTAGTTCAGCTTTATTGGCTTGTACTTTTACTAAAAAGATACAAAAAAAGGAAGGAAAATGTATATTCATAAACTTTCTTTTGTATGATTATTGTTTGGCATAAGTATTGCAATGGGGTCCACAATTTTTTTGCCGCAAAATTTTTTTTTCATAAGTCCCATCTCTTAAAAAATAGAATTCTCAACAGACCTAAATTGCATTTTAAAACTCCCGCTCGATTAGAAGCTGTTTTTTTTAACCTTGATTGATGTTTCACTCAAAAACTTTGAATTGAATAAAAAATACGGCTTATGCTTTTTTTCGTTTTTTATCTTACTGGCTTGGTATGGATTGGTTTATTGAGGCAGCAAAATTTTTCAAAAACGTTTTAAAATTTTCTAATGCAAAATTTTTCTGATAGTAGAAAATAATATTGCTTCAAGTTTTGTACTCAAAATTTCAAAAGTAGCTGAACCGACCTTAATCAAATCGTGAAAATAAAAATCACGTCTAAAGTATCAGCTATGAGAAAGTCAATTTATTATTTTTAGAGAAAATATTACATGGAAGACAGTTTTCAAGGGAGCAAAACAAGCAGCTTCCGTTCCACCCACGGATAAAACTAGGATGATTTTCACTCAAAAAAGTCAAAAACTCAACCCACGGAAATTTTTTTCAGCTGTGTTATTCACAGATGCTTTTGCCTATAAGTCAACTCGGATAGCTTTCTAACAATCAAGTTTCCGCCTTTTTTTGATCCATACTAAATTTTCGCATGTGGAAATATACTAATGATACAAGTTTCATGTAGTTTTTTAAATTCAAAAAAATGCATGTTATGTCTATGATTACTACATTTTCATTTATCGGACTTTTACTCAAAATTTTCGAGCGATTTCGAAAAAAAAATTGAAAGAAAAAACGGAAAAAAGATGCACTTTTTGTGGAATCTTCTTAGGTACAAAATAAAATTTGGATGCAAAAATGTTGGCCAAAACAAAAGTCAAAACTTAGTGAAATATTCAAAACTTAGTGAAACTAAGCATTTTATGTGTTTATTTTCTTAGTACCAAAATTTCTGAGAGGAGGTCTGAGAAACTTACAAAACATTTGATTGTTTCGAAAATTTTTAAGATAGGTTTTTATGTTCATATTGAGTGAAGATGAGTCATCCGCAGCTTACAACATTAATCATCAAGATGAACTTTGCGGCTAAGTGGCGGCTCTAGATCGGGGACTTAGTTGTTTTGGTTTTTTACCAAAAAATTGAGTTTTCTTAAATGCACTCGAAAAAAATCTCTGAACGAGAGCCACCACCTTATCACTAATGTTGTCACTACCATCAACGAAAAGTTTATCAGCACAAATGACTACTAAAAAAAGAACAATTATTTTTAAAAAAGAACGGAAATGTTGATAAAAACAACCTAATATTTATTATTTGCTTTTAGTAATTACCTTTGTTTAGATTCATGTCCTAAAATTTATGCTCTCATTTGTCAAAAATTCGTGGTGTCTTTCTGTTGTGACAAAGTAAGAGTTGTCAATCAAAACTTGAAGATGCCGCCTATCACAAGCAAAGTTCCAAAAAATGAAAGCTTTTTGGTTGCAACCACCAGGCGGGCTGAGTGTATGTATGCGTAGCTATTACTCAATGGAGGCTATGCGTCGTGTGTCTAAAAGAATCTTGCAAGAATCTTGCAAGATTCTTTTAGACACACGACGCATAACCTCCATTGAGTAAATAGCTACTCTCGCAAGATAAGCTACCTTGATTGACTTGGCCTGTATCTTCGACCTGAGGATAACTTACAAAGTTCATGTAATTTTTCCGAGAAAGCGAAAATGCAGGACTGCATAACGTTCGAAGAGTTCTGCTTTTAGATAAAAAAATGCTGCAGCAAAAAGTGAGGTTTGCAAATTTTTCGGGTTCTTTCTTTTGATTTTCTCTGAAACTTTGCCTAATTATCAGAAAAATTTATTTTCAGAGTAGATACGAGATATCGTTTAAATGAAAGTCAGCAATTATGAATGGTACAAGTTTGATAATTGGGTCACAAAAATAACAATGAGTCCAAAAAGAAATATATGGTGTCTATAGTTGCTCAGGATTTGTTACTGCAGTTGTTTATTTGTGAATTGTAGGTTTTCATAAATATTGAGGGACTTATCCTAAAGGTTAAATGTAATTAAAGGTTGATGTTGCCAGTGAACCAACTATCACACTTGCACCGAACAAAAAAAGTCGACAGGATTGTCAATGAGCTTGCCCGGTAGCAGACAAAGAAATGACAAGGGATCGAACTATAATTTTGCCAGGTACAGAACTATCATACTTGTATCAGAAAAAAATAGACAATAAATAAATATCGCCGCGAAAACTATTAAACACTTGTTTGGCCTTGAGATTGGTTTTAGAAGTTGGAAATTTTATTTGGCCTAAAAAGTGAGTGTGGTATTTACACTTTCAAAAAAACTGTTTCGAAAAGATACACTCAGTATTGTGGGGGATAGTTTTGATACATTACTACTTTTTAATAATACCGATCTTATTGGCTGGCGAACCTTAAAAAGTTTCATTGCCAAAACAACTTTCGGCACATATACGCACACATAAAAAATTTGATAAAAAAATATACGTAAATTTCAACAAAGAAAATGAATTTTTTGACAAACTTTTCCGCAAACTGATCAATAATGCCAATTTAAAAGGGAAACTGATTTTTTCCAAAAATTGGTCTGAAATATGCTGGCAAGGTTGAAAAAATCTCACTCTTAGAAAATCTATGATCTGCCGGTTCTCGCTTTGATCACGCAACACATCCAGTTAGATTATCAAATTATAGCTGCTGTGATTGTGTTTTTTTTTAAACTTCGACCTCCTCCAACTAATTAGATACTTGTCAGTTGTGTTCTAACCGGAGTTTTTAATGTTCTTTTTAGACAAAAGTCAGTTTTATTTCAACCTTTTACATTTTTTTCTTTTAAACTAGCTTAGTTAGTTTTAATATACCGGTGGTTTTTGAAAATTTCTTATTATGGCGCAGTCCATTGATTCAAATCTGCGGGTAGTTCCAGCCTTTTGGCGAAACCATATTGTAGAACCATCCACCCAAGGGACAAATTTGGGGAATGCTCTCCGATTTAGCTATAACGTGTGAAACAGGCATTAACGTGGAACAAGAATGGATAAAAGACGTATTCACATTCAATTTGAGAAATTGTGACCTCCAACGCATACTCTTGTCGAAAACGCTAAGCCCAGTGGATGCACTCAACCAGGCAATTATTGACGTGACGAGGGCTAACAACAACAGCAGCGGCAAGATGTACAAAAATTTTAAATCTGTAAAAAATCTGAATAAAGTAAAATTAAACCCTTTTATGACATTTGGAAATGCTTTTACCAAAGGACACCTGAACGTTGTTCAGCAAAAGAAAAAATGTGTAATATTTCAAAATACAAAGGAATTTTTCGAATACTTTGTAAATCAAAAGGGAGAAAGCAAGTTTTAAGTGTGTAGACGAAAATGTATATAATCAGAATTGTCCAAATTTTCCATTGGATCCATATTCGAACCAGGAACAAAAATTTTGTGGAGTAACAAACGCATGGACAGAAGAAGGAATAAGCGATAATTATGATTACTCGGCGCTGAACATACAAACGATCTATGATGACAACGGCTTAGAAACGAAGAAATTTGAGAATATCGGATTAGGTGATGACGCAATTGTAAATATGAACTTTCCTGAAAATTTGGCTAGTCCAGTAATTTTTGGAAACATGTCGTGTTTCATGAGCTAAAACTGAGAGACCCACAGTTGAAGATTCTCCCCGTGCGTAAAAAAATTCGGCCATTATACTGCGGCTCTACTAATGATACAATGATTATAATCAGAAAATT